TTTTTTTTTTTTTTCGAAATTATACCATCATCCGATTTTTTTTTTCTCTTGTCGTTTCTATATCGTTACATCATATATAGATATATTTGCTTGTTCTGTTCACCCCTATCTATATTATTTTTTCTATTTGATTCTTTTCTTTTTCGTATTCATTTATATATTGTCAGAAATACATATCTAACCAACATTCTAAAGATGCAGAAGTCTGAGTCATTAGGTTCACTTAATTTACCAACAAATTCAGAAAATTTAATATTAACATCAACATTTAATCCAGCATCGAAACCTAGTTCTTTTTCAAAAATGGCACGGCGCATGGATATTATTCCTACACCGAACAGACCAGATAAATTATTACCATCTACTAAAACTCAATCCTGTAGTAATGAGGACAGCTCAGTAATGAATACTGTTATAGCTACTGAAAGCAATACTGCTTTCGAAGATGATCATGTTTTGTGTGATAATCGACAAGATACTTCAGTAATACCGAATTTAATTCATAATCAATCTCATCAGAAAGATCATACAAGTGATGAACAAGAAGATGATAATCTATTTGATACATTTATTTGTGAGAACTTCGTTCCTTTTTCGGGAGCAGAACCCATCAATCAATGGTTAGATGAGACTGACGCCTTATTTCATCGCTTCAAGATCTCACGTAAACTTCGTTTTCAAGCTATACCTCTTTTAGTACAAGGCGATGCGAAACGCAAATATATCAAAAATCGTCACGCCATAAAATCTTTTGATGATTTTTATGAATTTCTACTAACACATTTCGATTCAACTCCAGTAACAGTCAGTACTTCTAAACCTAGTCAAACTAATCATAAAGTTGAATTTGCGAAAGAGTCTATGTGCATCAGTAACATAACAACAGATTCTAAATTAAATGTTGCGAATATAACTGATGCTACTCAGTTGTCACAGCCATCCGTTTCTTCTTATAGTAAGCTTGCTATTGATGATACCACCACAACGAGTGGTGATGTGTCAGACTCTAACTTATCTGGAAATACTTCAACAATTAATCGTTTACCATCAGATCCAGTGATAACAGATTTACGCAAAGCTATCGTAGCAGATTTTATACGAAATCCAAAGATTTTTCGTGGTAATAAGGACGACGTGACAAAATGGTTAGAGGATATTGATCATTTGATGCACATTGCACATGTTCCTGATACGAATCGGCTCGATCTCATTTCTTATTCTCTAAGAGGAGATGCTTGTCAATGGTTTCGTAATAACCAATCAGTATTAACTAGTTGGGA